CATCCGACCTGTCACAAACCATGCTGACTTCTTGGGTCTCAGCATGGACATTAGGCGGTCCATGTTGCGAAATGCGTGGCAGGAGCGGGCTGTGGCGCACAATCCACGCGAAGGCCAAATTGTCGCTCTCATCCAGGCGCCGCGCTTATTCCCCTAGAGAACTGACTTCCCGATTGGGCGCCGCACAAGTTTTTCGCACGCGTTCTCGTCGACGCGTGAGAGGACGAAAATGTCGCTCGAGGAAGACAGAAGGGAGGGAGGGAGGGAGGAGGGAGGGAGGGAAGGCGGAAAGGTTGGATAAGGCGTCCCGAGCCTCGCGGCAGAAACCATTTTATCACCTACCTCGCCTCGACAGGACCGCCCCTCAAGCAAACAACAGATGTTGCATCCGACGACGTCGCCGTGCCGCAGAAGTTTGAAGCTGGGTCTCGAACACCCCTCCCCCCGACGCCTCTCCCACCTGCCCGCTTCCGCCCCCTGCCCCTCATCCCCCTCGACGAAGAGATAGAGGAGACAGGATGCAACGGGAGAGGGGGGCGGGTCCCAACTTCTGGCGGCCCTGCCGTTCCTGGTGAAACACTGTATGCCGTGTGCGCTGGCAAGGCCAGCATACATGCTTGAGGTTGCTAACCGTGACAAGCATAAGGCCAAACCGGCATGATGCACCAGGAGTAGATTGAGAAGGACAAAAACCACACCACCCGGGCTTGAGATGAAGGGAGGAGGCGGAGTCCCAGAACCTACAAGAACCACGACACCTGACAGCACTCCAATACTCCAGTGCCCCCCACCCCCTCAACACCCCGAACCCCCCATCAAACACACATCCTGCCTCATGCTCTGCATCACCACCATCATCACCACCATCATCACCATCATCATCACCGTCTTCATCATCCACTCGCGCAGTATTTCTCATATCCGTCCTCCTCCTCCTGGTCCTCTTCCCCCTTTCTGACGTTCATCCCCTCACCTCTTCAACCTCGCCGATGTCTCTTCTCCACTGTCCTCCTCCTCCTGCTCCTCCTGCTCGTCCTCCTCCTCCTCCTCCTCGTCCTCCTCCTCCGATTCCTGCACCTTTAGTCCGACCCGCCTCATTTCACTTCCGCGCTGGCAGCATGCGCAAACGTGCCCTTCCACTGTGCTCACCAAAAGCAATACGAAGTCGGCACTGCCCTTCCATCGTGGACGAGTTGTCATTGGCATGGCAGAGTGAATGGCAAGAGTGGAACGCGTCGCACATCGCGCGCAACACGGCGGCGAAGATGTCGCTCTCGCCACAAAGCCGCTAAGAAACGTCGTCAAAGTTCCGCCTCCGCCCCGGCGCGGCGCACACTGCCCGCTCCCCAGTCAGTCGGTGGCGGGGTCGCGTGCGGCAGGGCCACGTATCCTTCTCGCCCAATCATGGGGCAGTGCAAAGGGGGGTCACCACTAGGGGGGTCGCCACTTCCTCGAGGAAACGCCACGTCCTCGAGACTTCCTCGAGGAACTGGGCCCCCCAGAGCCCCGAAAACGCAAAGAAACGTCCAAGAACATCCTCGACCCCTCGACTCTCCATCCTGGAGCCTCGATTTCCAGGAGAAGCTGGCGACCCCCCCAGTGGTGACCCCCCTTGGCACTGCCTGAAGTCCCCGCACAGACTCGCCTGAATGTGACACCTCCGCCCGGGGGCGGCGCACACTGCTCGCTCGCACAGCTGTCGGAGCAGAGGCGAGGGGCCGCGCGCGAGCGGGCGAGATGCCGCGCTCGCTCGAGCGCCCCGCAGATGTCGCCCGAGAGTGGCAAAATTCCGCTTGGGCGCGGCGCACGCTTGAGAATTTTTTTTTTTCGTCAAGGTGAACAGCGTACCACGCTAAAGTGGGCGGCACTCGCATATTGTCTGTGTCCTCAATATGCACTCACGAACCGCTGGTCTACCAGGACACGCGGGCGCCGGCTGGAGGCATGGCCAGGAGCGCGCGGTTGCCCGATTCCGAGCGCCCAGGGGGTCAGCTCAGGCGCATGCTTGAGAATCGTATCTTATGTTATGGGAAGCAGGCTAGAAGAGGCGAGGCCCGCTGACTCGTTCGAGATGGCTAGCTTGACTACCAGTCCTACTCCTACTCCCTTCTGCTTATCACCCCCTTTCCCTCCTCCTTCTCCTCCTCCTCCTCCTCCTCCTCCCCGTCCTTCTCTTATTCCTCTTCCTCCTCCTCCTGGCTCAAGCCGCTCTGGCTCAAGGCCCCGCCCATGCGTTTCTTTGTTGACGTTGAATTGCTGGGCACATCGCTAGGACACCGGGTTAGGGAATTCTCTCAGCGCTTCGGAGTTTCCAATGATGAGCTCGAGATCGTCGTTCTCGCAGGAGGCTCTATCTACGGCTGCACCCCTGTCGCCGCCGCCAGGGATTTGGAGCCCGTTCGACGTGGTGGACATGGAATTCAACAATGGCGCGCAGCCTCCTGAGCAGGTTTACCTGCCGATGAAGCCGGAGGAGGAGGTGCAGTCAGTAAAACGTCTGAGGAGGTGGGACCGTTTGAAGGTCAACAGCCAGAAGGCGTCGGCTCAGCCTGTGGCCCCAGTTTTGAAGGAGAATTTCGAAGGTGCCAGTACGGGGTCCTCGACATCGATGGTAGCGAAGGAGGTATTTTCTCATCCTCAGGAGCCTCCGGACGCTCCGAGGGCTTGCATGAAGATACCGACGCCGCCGCCGGCTCCGGAGGTGGCAGTGGCCAAGCGCCCTCGGAAGCGCAAGCGCAAGAAGAAGCACAAGGACGTCCGCACGGAGGAGGCCAAGGCGGGCTTGAAGGAGTGGCCGCCAGCACCCCCGCCAGCAAGGGCTGCATCGAGCAGCTCTGCGTTGCGGGTGCCGCCGCCGCCCCCACCACTCCGTATTCCCCGCACCCCGCTGAGGAAGCCGAGGAAGAGTCCAGAGCCTTGAATTGCTTCATCGGCGATCGCACTCGCCGTAGAAGGAAGCACAAGAAGAGGGAGAAAGGAGATGTGGATTCAAACGCATTCTTGGCTAAGCCTCCCTCTAATGAGGCTCGCTCGTCTGTTGCTGAAGCCGCTTCTGCAATCGTGCCCTCAGTGGTCTCTCCAAGTGCTGGTTTGGCTGAGCCTCCAACTGTTGAGGCTCGCCCTGCGCTAGGGGAGCCTCTTTTGGCTGAGCCTCCGTCTGATGAGGTTCGCCTTTCAGCTGCTACTTTGGCTGAGCCTCTTTCCGAGGCTCGCCCAGGAGAATTCGTTGACGCTGGTTTGGGGCTGCTTCCTTCGGTTGAGGCGCCCTCCGATCAGATGGCTACGAGCGCTCTTTCGGTTGAGGTGGAAGGCTCGGCCCTTTCAGGGCAGCTTTTTTACAGACCCGACGTCCAGGCTAACGTGCCCTCAGTGGTCTCTTCGAGTGCTGTTTTGGCTGAGCCTCCCAACTGTTGAGGCTCGCCCTACGCTTGTGGAGCCCTTTTTGGCTGAGCCTCCGTCTGGTGAGGCTCGCCTTTCAGATGCTACTGTGGCTGAGCCTCTTTCCGATGCTCCCCCAGGAGAATTCGTTGACGCTGGTTTGGGGCTGCCTCCTTCGGTTGAGGCGCCCTCCGATCAGGTGGCTACGAGCGCTCTTTCGGGTGAGGTGGAAGGCTCGGCCCTTTCAGGGCAGCTTTTTTACAGACCCGACGTCCAGGCTAACGTGCCCTCAGTGGTCTCTTCGAGTGCTGTTTTGGCTGAGCCTCCAACTGTTGAGGCTCGCCCTGCGCTTGTGGAGCCCTTTTTGGCTGAGCCTCCGTCTGGTGAGGTTCGCCTTTCAGATGCTACTTTGGCTGAGCCTCTTTCCGATGCTCCCCCAGGAGAGTTCGTTGACGCTGGTTTGGGGCTGCCTCCTTCGGTTGAGGCGCCCTCCGAGCAGATGGCTATGAGCGATCTTTCGGGTGAGGTGGAAGGGTCGTCCCTTTCAGGGCAGCATTTTTCCAGACCCGACTTTCAGACGGGTCCTTTACCTTCGGGCGCGAAGACGCCCGCAGGCTCGAGTCTTGACGAGGGTGCGAAGGCACTCTCAGTCTCTGACCTCGAGTTGCTCAGCTGCGTTTCCGACGGTGATGAGGTAATTGAAAGGCTGCGGGTAGAGCAGTGGCTAGTGGCACCTGTTTTGAGTGCAGCGTCTCGGTTGGTCCCAGCAGAGGCTGCAAGGCTCATGCCAGTCGTATCAGCCTTGCAGGCGCACGCTAGCTAGGCAGTGTATGCAGCTAGCCTCAATTTTCATGCCACTAAGTTTTAACCTGCTTGCAGAGTTTAGCTTGTCGACGCGCACAGTGAAAATCCTCTTCCTCCTCCTCCTCCTACTCCTCCTGCATCCCGTTTCCTTATAAATACCTCCTGTCTGCCGCACCCCCAGACGTGTCGGTAGGGCGGACCGGGCTCATGCTTGATACAACATCACCATTTATGATCCTGAAGCTTGAAACCTGCAACAGCTTCACGAATAGAGGGTGGGCCGTTTTCAAAATGTGGTTCCCGCCTTGGCGCCGAGCACGTTCGTCTTAACAGTGTGCAACAGCTTCACGGATGGTGGGAAAATGGTTTTCACAAAATGCGGCCCTCGCCGAAGCGCTGCGCACATCCGTCCTAAAGTTTGCAACATATTCAAAGATGAAGGGCGGCTCTTTTTCAAACTGTAGCGCTCGCCTTAGCGCCGCGTACATTCTCACTAAAAGTTACCAACCGATAATTCCAAGGATTCGCATGGTCGAAGTACCAGAAACTGTGATCTGGCAAGGCTTGAGATTGCCAGAACGCAATAGTCACGCTGACTCGCAGTTAAGTCCGAGGAGCAATGTTCTTGCACGACTGAAGATTGTCAGAGCGCAACGGTGACATTTGCTCACAACGCTGAAGTCCCAGAAACGGTGTTCTGGCACGTTTGAGGATTATTAAGCACTTGCCTTCCGATCAGGCATTTGACAATGTGTGTTTGCTCTTCCTCATCATCAATATCATCATCATCGGCATCATCATCATCATGATCAGCATCAGTGTCAGAATAATCATCATCATCATCATCATCATCATCATCATCATCATCATCATCATCATCATCATCATCGTCATCATCATCATCATCATCATCATCATCACCATCATAATCAGCATCATCATCATCAGATGCCTCCTAGATGGGTCCGAAAAGATGGGGTCTGAGAATCGCGTCTCATCGGCGATGCACCGGCGCTGCATCGGCGATGCATCGGCCATGCATCGGCCATGCACTGGCGACGTCAACGATGCATCGGCGACGAGAAAATCGGGCTGCACACCGAGCCCTATCGTCGATGAATCGCCGATGCATCAGCGATGCGCCGCGATCCTCCGACCCCATCTACTCGGACCCCATCCAGGAGGCCCAGAATCATCATCATCAGCATCATCAGTATTATAATAAGCATCATCAAAATAATAACCATCATCACCATCATCAGCGTATCATCATCATCATCATCATCATCATCATCATCATCACCATCATCACCACCATCATCAAACTTAGCATCATCATCATCTTCATCTTCATCATCATCATCATCATCATCATCATCATCATCATCATCATCATGATCATCAGCATGATCATCATGATCATCATCATCATCACCACCACCACCACCACCATCATCATCATCATCATCATCATCATCATCATCATCATCATCATCATCATCATCGTCCCCCTCCTCTCCCAGCGCTGGGCCCGCGGCCGCCGTTCAGGCCCTCCACCGCCCGCGCCATGCGCAGGAACTGGGGGCGGTCGGGCTTCTTCGGCCGCCCCGTCCAAAAAAAAGCGCCCGCCGCGAGGAGGGCGGGGGCGACGAGCAGGGGGGGGGGACGGGGGGCAGGAGGAGAGGTGAAAAATCGACCCCCATAACCACCCCGACGCGCGAAGTCAAAAGCGCCCAAAGAAGGAATCGAACAGGGCAGGGCTGTTCAGTACACGCCCAGGGCCGTTGAGTAAACGCTAATTGTCCGGTCCGGGTGGCTGTTCCTCCCTTGGCAGGAGCAGGAGGGGGAGGAGCACGTAGCACGACGCACTTGCGGGCAAGAGTGCGGGGGCGGCGGGAACGTCGACAGTCCGCGAGGCTCCGAAGAAGCCCGCCGCAGGCGCCGCAATTTCACACAGAGTATGCAGCATGCCCGCCGCGGGCGCTGATTTTTCCGATCAAGAAATGTGGGTGGGTCGCGGGGTGGGTCGCGGGTGGGTCGCGGGCGGGGTCGCGGGTGGATCGCGGTGGGTCGCGGGTGGGTCGCGGGCAGGTCGCGGGGTGGGTCGCGTGTGGGTCGCGGGTGGGTCGCGGGGTGGGTCGCGGAAGGGGTCGCGGGCGGGTCGCGGGGTGGGTCGCGGGGGGGACAACGACAACAAACAGCAAACAACAAACAACAAAATCAACAAAATCAACAACAACAACAACAACAACAACAACAACAACAACAACAACAACAACAACAACAGCAACAGCAACAGCAACAACAACATCAACAACAACAGCAAAACCAACAACAACAACAACAACAACAACAACACCAACACCAACAACAACAAACAACATCAACACCAACAGCAACAACAACAACAGCAACAACAGCAGCAGCAACAGCAACTGCAACAACAGAAACAAAAAAAAAAACATGTTAAGAATGTTCGCGTTTATCTGCTCGCGTGCCATTCAAAACGTATATCCCAAACCCTCGACACTTTCCCTCGTCGTCTTCGACCGTACCCCCTCGGGAGTAGACCTTTCTTGCCTGCAACGTGTTTTTCGTGCAGACCATGAGGCAAGAGAGGACGAATGGAAGGAAGGGACAAGGGGGAGGGAGAGGAGGATGGAGCACGAGAGAGAGTAGCAGGGGGGCTAGGAACAGAAAACACGTGGCAAAACCAGACGGGCAGACCGGGCGGTTAGACCCTACCAAGCGGGTCGGGAAGGAGGGCCCAGGCGGCCGGGTCAGGCAGGCGGGTTGCTAAAGCGTGCGTTCTGCATGAATCGCAAGGAAGTCTCGAGCGACAGCTCGATTCCCAAATCAATCCTGAGGAAATCCACAGCGAGAGCGTGACTCCTGAATGTCGAGGGCGCGGCGTCTGAATAAGTTGTGAGGAAATTCAAGGCGAGAGCGCGATTTCTGCATACAGTGTGAAGAAGTCCCGCGCGAGAGCGCGATTTGGGGGTAGCTTGTGAGGAAGTATCAGTAGGGAACCGTTGTTGTTGTAGCCGAGGGGCCAGGGGCGCAGTTTGAGGAGCAAGACTTTCCCTAATCAAAAACCGGGTGCGAGCCCCAGGAGAGGCACTTCAATTAAAAAACACATGTGTTACCGGAGGGGGGGTCAACAAGATTTAGTCTTTAGAGATGAGAGTTCACAAACACAACAACAACAAACCACACCGCAGAACCTTATTTCAGCCACGCGCTCAGGGACAGTGAATGACCATTCGGCCCCCTCACTCTGATACTTAACAGTGACAAAGACGAGAACGACAATTTCGACGATGCCAGTGAGCGGAAGGAGGGTGGAGGAGGAGGAGGAGGAGGAGGAGGAGGAGGAGAAGGCGGCGGCGGAGGAGGAGGAGGACGGGGGGAAGAGGAAGGAGAGAGGATAGAGGAGGAGGAGGAGGGAGGAAGGAGAGGAGGAGGAGGAGGAGGCGAGGAGGAGGGAAGAGAGGAAGAGGGGAGGAAGAGGAGGAGGAGGAGGAAACGGGAGGAGGAGGGAGGGATGGAGAAAAAGGAGGGAGGGAGGAGGACGAGGAGGAGGGACGAGACGGAGGGAAACTGCGAAGGGGGTGCAGCGCAGCACGAGAGGCCTGCAAGGCGACCGGTCGGCGACCGCGCGCCTCGAGACGAGCCGCCCGACCGCGCCGCGCCCGCAGCCGGCGGGAGGCGGTCGCCCCCTTCGGGCCCCCCTGAGAAGGGGTGCCCTTCACGTCGAGCTCTGAGCGGTTGGAAGTAAGTGGAGGAGGAGGAGGAGGAGGAGGAGGAGGAGGAGGAGGAGAAGGAGAGAGAGAGGAAGAGAAAGGGAGGAAGGGTGGGCGAGGAAAAGGGAGGAGGAGGAGGAGGAGGAGGAGATGGAGGAAGAGGAAGACAAAGGAGGAGGAGGAGGAGGAAGAGAAGGAGGAGGAGGAAGGTTAGGAGGAAAAGGAGTTGGGGGAGGGAGGGAGGGATGGACGGGGGAACGGAGTAGGGCTGAGAAGGACGAGAAAACTGGGGAGGAGGGGAGGAGGGAAACGAGGAGATGCAGGAGGAAGGGAAAGACGACAAGCAGAGGTAGAGGCAGGATTAGGGACAGGAGGAGAGTGAAGAAATGGATACGAACAAGAAGGATTAGGAAAGTAGGGCAGGATAAAGCAAGGGCTGATTGGGGTAAAGAGGAGGAGTGAGAAGAGGGGGCAGAGAGGAGGAAAGGAGGAACAGGAGGTGAAGCTGCCCAAGAAAGGCCCTCGCCGCTTGGCGGGGATGGCCGCACAAGGGGGGGATCCTGCTTGTCCGTCTCACGGAAGCCCTCGACCAGGCTCTCGTACATGTCATGGTGCACCTTCCTCCTCACTCTCCTGCTCCTCTTCCTACTCCTCTTCCTCCTCCTCATCCTCCGTACCACCACCATCAAACTCATCAGCATCACCAACACCAACACACCCATCCTCATCCTCCTCAGCCTCCTCATCATCCTGCTTCTCCTCCTCATCATCATCAGCATCATCATCCTCACCATCCATCATCACCATCATCATCATCATCATCATCATCATCATCATCATCAGCATCATCATCATCATCGACATCATCATCCTCGTTAACAGCATCATCATCATCATCAGCATCATAATCATAATCACCATCACCATCATCGTCTTCCTCTCTGCTTCCTCCTCCTCATCATCCTCATCACCACCAACAACATCATCGCTACAACCACCATCACCGTAATCCTCCTCCTCATCCTTCTCCTCCGTCTCTTCCTCCTCAATACCATCAGCATCATCACCACCATCTCCATCACCACCACCGTCATCATCATCATCATCATCAGCATCATCATCATCATCATCATCAGCATCATCATCATCCTCATCCTCATCCTCATCATCATCATCAGCATCGTCATCATCAGCATGATCAGCATCATCAGCAGCATCAGCATCATCATCAACCTCATCATCAGCAGCATCATCATCGTTCTCATTACCAGCAGCAGCACCATCATCAACAACAACATCATTATCATCAATATCATCATCAACATCATCATCGTGATCAGCAGTATCATAATCCGCAACAGCAGCAGCAGCAGTATAAGCACCCGCAGCAGCATCCGCATATGTATCCGCATCGTCAGCATCATCGTTGTCACCTTCATCAGCATCATCATCAGCATCATCATCCTCAGCATCATCATCATCGTCACCATCGTCACCATCATCATGATCACCATCATCATCATCATCATCATCATCATCATCACCATCATCATCATCATCATCATCATCATCATCATCATCATCATCATCATCATCATCATCATCATCATCATGGTTATCATCATGTTCATCTTCATCTTCATCCTCATCTGCATGATCATCGTCATCGGTATCATCATGATTATACTCATCCTCCTGATCACGATCAGCATCATCATCAGCAGCATCAGCATCGTCATTGTCATCGTAATCATCATCGTCATGGTCATGGTCCTGGCCATGGTCATGGTCATGGTCAACAACACTGCCATCATCAGCAGCGTTACCATTATTGTCATAGTTGTCATCACCCTCATTTTCATCACCATCATCATCATCATCATCAGCCTCCTCGTCATCATCATCATCGTCATCATCAGGAGCACCACTGCTGCCGTCCTAATGATCGCCACCACCATCATCACCACCATCACCACCACCATCAGAATCACCACCACCATCATCATCATCATCATCAGCATCATCATCATCACCATCATCATCATCATCATCATCATCATCATCACCGTCATCAGTATCATCATCAGCATCATCATCGTCTGCATCATCAGCATCGTCATCATCAGCATCATCATCAGCAGCATCATCATCATCAACAGTATCGTCATCATCAGCATCACCATCATCATCATCAGTATTATCATCCTCGTCATCATCATCAGCATCATAAGCATCAACATCATCATCATCATTATCATCGGCATCAACATCATCATCATCATCATCATCATCATCATCATCATCATCACCAGCATCATCATCATCATCATCATCATCATCCCCCTCCCATCCTCCTTATTCTCCTCCTCCTCCCGCATCCGCACAGGGGAGGGTCGCGGTGCACCTTCTCCGACTTATCGAGCCCGCCCCGGTCGTTCAGGGCCTGCACGATGTTGCTGTGGAGATTCTGGCGCACGTAGGAAACGCAGTCTCGGCCTCAGCCAAACCCAGCCGCTCCCCCCGAAGTCAGGGCGTCGCGACATTGCCGCCTACTCTCGGGCCCTGGGACTGTCACGGACTGAATCGGCTAAAACAAAAACAAAAAAACGTAAGGTTCCGAGGCCCGTGCGAAGCTGGAAGCGGGAGGAGCTCCAGGCGTGATTTCCTCATGGCCCCTGCTCTCCTCGAGTTCTGGAGCACCCCCGGCACGGCGTGCCCCAGCGGCACACCCGCGCGCGGGCGCGGCCGCGCACCCCCTGGCGCCAAGGGAGGCCGTTGGCTTAGGTCGGGCATGTCCCCTTACAGGCCTATTTTGAACGACAAATTATATGTATATATATATGTATGTAAATGTGTTTACATACATATATAATATATACATCTATATATCTATATTTATATATATATAAAAAAAATGTAGATACATACTCGTCAGAAATACACGAAATGTAGGTATAGACGAAACTGGTCGAATATGCGTTAAACCTGCAAAAAAAACAATACATCGACAAAAGCATATAAACATGAACATCCAAAGTCATCCGAGATAGTCGACACATGCTCCCATCCTATTATGTTTGACTATTTTTGAATGCTCCCCACGTAGAGGGACATGCCCGACTCAGCCCCAGCGCCGAGGGAGGCCGCTGGCGCCCCCGGCCGCTGCTGACGCCCGGGAGCGGCTCCCTGGAGGAGCTCGGCCTGCCGCCCCCCGACGAAGGCCCGCGCAGGCCGTGGCCCTTCGGTGGAGGGGCGCTCGCCCGCCTGGCTGGCGAGGTCGGCAAGGCGAGATCGGAGATGGGAAGGAGGGGGAGGGGGAAAGAGAGGGGGAGGGGGAGGAGGAGGAGGAGGAGGAGGAGGAGGAGGAGGAGGAGGAGGCGAGGAGGACGAACGGGGGGGGGGAGTGAGGAGGCAGGAGGAGGGAGGAGGTAGGAGGGAGGAGGAGGAGAGATGAGGATTGAGTAGGCGGATGAGAGCAGTGATGAGTAGAGATCAGGGGAGGGAGTAGGAGGAAGAAAGGCGGAGGGAGAGGAGGAGGGCTCAGGAGAGGGGGAGGAGGAGGAAAACGGGGTGGAGGAGGAGATGATGAGGGGGAAGGAGGAAGAGGGACAAAATAGGAGAGTGAGGAGGAGGATGAGCGCGGGCGAGAGCGGGGGAGGCGGGGTGGGGAGGCGAAGCGAAGGGCGCGGGGGGGCGGCGGCGGAGGGGTCAGAGGCGGCGGCGATCGGAAGAGGGAGAGAGAACAGGCGGGAGTAGAAAGGAGGAGGAGGAAGGAGGAGGAATGATGAGGAGAAGGAGGAGAGGAGAACGGGGGGAGGAGGAGGAGGGAGGGCGGGGGGGGAGTTGGGAGGGATGAGCAACAACAGGAACACCCCCCGGACCAGCCGTTCGTCCCGAGTCGCCTTTCTACGGTCCGGGGGTACTGGGAAGGGCCCTGGGGAGGGGCCCTCTTCCCTGCGCTGGTCGCTAGTCTGATCTGCGCGCACGCGCGGCCAGGAGGGGGCTGCTCGAAAACATCCGCCCCGCCGACCTCGCGCCAGCAGAATGCAAAGAGCCCTCGGCCCTGAAGGTTCCCCCACCTCTGCTCGTTGCGAAATCTGCCGGCCCTTCGGCGTGTGTGAGACGCTGTCGTCGTCGTCTTCGTCGTCGTCCCCAGTCCCTCGAAAATTGAGGAACGAACAGAGGAAAGAAACGTCGTAGTCAAGTCGGTGTCCTTCCATTTTTCCCTTTTCCCTCACGGGGGGAGTGGTAGGGGGTGGTACGTAGGGGGAAGGGGTAGGGGGTGGTCCCGGGTCAGATTACCCCCCCCTACCCCCTCCCCCCGGGGTCCCGACGGGTCCCTGGGGGTGGTCCCACCTACCTGTGGTGGACAGGGGGACGGGGAAAGGTTCCCCCCATGGGGGGGCCCTGGCCCTGGCCCTGGCCCCGGCCCCAGCCCCGACCCCGGCCCTGGCCGTGGCCGTCGCCGTGGTCGTTGCTCCTGCCCCTGCCCTGGCCGTGGCCCCCGGGTCGGATCCCGGGGAAATGCCGCCTTCAGAGTGGGCGGCACAGGCCGCGAGGCCTTCACAATAACTATCACGATGGTAGCCCCACCGGGCCCCGGGCCCACCAAACGCTAGTGACAAAACGAGCATTGTCAAGGACGCGTGGTGAGGACACAAGACCCTTAGCCACCGAAGTTGGGCTCTTTGGGGCGGCGGGCGACCAGTGAGAACGTCAGAGGACGGACCGCAGAGGCAAGGGCACGAGGGCTGCCAGCAGCGGCAGGAAGCGCTCTTTCGTCCCAGAACTCAGGGCGCTCCCAGGGCACGCATGCCGAGATGGGGCGCTTCTCTGATGGGCCCCTGCTCCCCCACATCGCTGTGGGATCCGGGTGCCTCGAGAGATTCCCTGGGATCCATGGCGTATCATTTGTTTCGAGCCAAGCGCTTTTGCCCAGTCTGGGGCCCCAAGACCCTCACAGGTCGGTGCCGCTCGAAACATGGAGCAGAAAGATTGGATCCTGGGCTGTGAACGTGATTTATTCGGCGTTTCGACACTAGTTAGGCGCAAGGGGGGTGGCTGGCTCCTCCGGACCTCTGCTCAGTGCGGCTGCTTGCAGCAGTGCGTCCATGATGGGGGAGGCTCCACCTGCTCGAAACGGGCGCCAAAAACAGTCAAGATCTACTCCGAGTGGGGGGGGGAGGAGGGGGTGCCAGGGCCCGCGCCGATCGGCAAAACGACGAATAAAAAACGACCACGCTGCGGTCGCGATGTTTCACGACGTTGCAACTTGTTCGCGTCGTCGGATCTCAAGATTTGCCCGCCCAGGCCCGCGGTGGGCACGGGCCAGGGCTCCACCCTTCCTCCTCCCCCTCCAGATCCTCAGGGTGCGTAGCATCAGGTCGGGCGTGTCTCCCTGCAGGCGGATTCTGTACGAAAAATATGTTTTTAAATCAAGCATCGTCAAAAATAGTACCCAAAAATCGTCACCTGACTATTTTTTACATATGTTTTAATACTCCTCCTGTAGAGGGACATGCCCGACTTAAACGTAGCAAGAGGCGTCATCCTGGGGTCGTCTCGGGGCCGTCGTTGAGTAGTCTGGGGGGGCGCCCTGGGGGCGTCTTGGACGCAGCCTGACGCCTTGCGTCAATGAGGATTCCTCCTCCCTCCCCGAAAAGGTGGGCAAGGCGG